ATCTCCTGGCCCGCTCCGAGGCTAACAAGGAGCTGAACGACAAGAAACGCCTTGCCACCTCCTATGCCAACCTCGCCAGGAGTCGCACTGTGTCCGACGGGACCTGCAAATTCCCAAAGGTCTGTCAAAGGGTGGTGGCATGTCGGGAAGGTCTGGGAATGTAGAAAGCGTGGGAGGGCGCAGCTGGGTCCCGCTGTGCAGCACCTTCAACCGTGGACAGCAGCGCCGGCCGCAGCAGCAAAGACTGGCACAAGGTGCTGGCCCTGTCCGCTTGTGCTGCTATCTCCTGCGCTGTGCATCTCCGGCTGCACGATGCAGTCCTCCCATCACCGCCCCCCCCCCCCCCCCCTTACCTCGCTTCATGAACAGAACATCATTGGTTGCGACTTGGGCCCCTATCAGGGAGAGGTCAAGTACATTGCCGACGATCTTGCACTGGAGTGTCAGGGAAAGGCCCCGGGCGAGTGCAACAGGTAGGGTGCCGTGTCTGGGACGCAGGAGAACGCGAGGTGCCATAGTAGGGATGATGCATCACGCTAACATCCGATTCCCTCTCCCATGAGTGTAGCGATGTGAACCTGCCGGTGCTGAAGCTGAAGTGAGCTGAGCAACCACCAGCAGAGTGGGCTCGGCACATTGTGAAGAAAGCCTCGAGTTTTGAATACGAGTTCTGCCCTGGTTTGAATCTGGACCGGCATGTAGATGCATAGCAGCGATGTCTGCCAGCCCTCTGACATGTCTGTACTATGGCATCTGACCGAAATTACTTCAGTGGGGAGCATCAGAGATCAGACGGTGCCTTTGGCAGGCATTGTGACATTCAAGTCGGAATAGAAGGTGTTCGAACCTTCAATTCGAGGGCTATGTCAGCAGACACAACAATGTGCATCGACGCTCAGACAACAAGGTTTGTCAAGCGGCCACACTCCCTTGGCACAAACCCACATGTACTATATATATTTGGGTGTTGGGTTGGGCGTTATTGTGCCTTGTGGTGGTTCAGGCGGACAGTAAGAGCACCTACCACGGTCACCGATGGGGCGCGTGCGAATGTCCCGGGGTGGGGGGCATTAAGCCCGGGTCGATTGATTAGCCCCGCCTCCCTTTGCTGTGAGAGCACGACTAGGGGAGCAACCCTCCAGGAATCACCGTTTCGCTTCACGTCGAGAGATCCTGCACGGGATAAGATCTTTAAACCTGCTAGCAGAGGACGAAACTCGGCCTCAACGCGAACTAGGTGAGTCGGGTCTTGTTTCCCCCCTTCGGTCGTGACAGTGGGTGGGCACAGGAACTCTGGCGTTCCTGTGCGGCCGACTATGTAATCGTGCTTGCCCAACCGCATGTCATGTTTGGGTGAGGTGCAAGTGGCGGGTCAGTGTGCCTGACTGCCAGTGTAGCATGTGCCGACCGGGGCCGAAGGCAGGCAGCGGGGCGCTGCTCCCACGCTGAGGCCCCGACATGGGCCATTTCGAAGGGAAATACTTGCCCACTGCCTACAAACAAATATGCTTCTGTAGTTTGGAAGTGCTTCCCTGCACCACGCGTGGCCACCGTCAGTAAGATCTCCCTGAGCATCTCACCTCTGCCCGCTTGCAGGTCCTCGAACAGTGACGACGCTACTGACACTTCACTCGTCCGGGGTTTCAAAACCATATAAGTCCCCCAAGGACCGTGGGGCAGCCATGAGGACACAGGTAAGAGTGACTCCAGGTTTCTACCTGTGCGCCTCAGGCTCTGAGGTAGGCTTATGTCACAATAGACTATGCCAACTGCAAGTCACGGCCTTTTCTATAAAACACAGGTCCTGGTGCTGGTGTGCCTGGCAGTGCTAAGCCAGACAGGCTCTGCAGCTGAGTGGCGGCATCTCAAGGTACATTGGTGGGGTGTTCTGCCCCATGCTCCCGTGTTCAGGACTACTGGCTGATCACCACATACATCTTCAGCATAACAGATCGTTGCATGAGCACTGTGCAATATTGTGTTTGCTGCCATTATGGAATGACTCCGAACTCTACCACCTTGTTCAGGCCCGCAATGAATATGGAAGGGCACTGGCAGAAGAAGTGATCTCTCCCAGGTAGGTTGACTGAATATGCAAGAAGCGGAGTTCGAGCATCAACGACAAGAATGCTGTGCATCCTATTCAACAACAAATATTCAAACGGACCAAGCATTTAAATTTCGCCCTATTGCAGACCCTACAGTCCATCCCCAAAGGTGTCCCCCTCCAGCGTGCCTCCTCCAATGACACCATACAGTCCATCACCAAGCCCCAAGGTGCCACCAACCAGCGTGCCACCTCCTCCAACCCCGTACAACCCCAGCCCCAGCCCCAAGACGCCGCCTT